TTTGCCCGGCCCTGTTGGTGGTGGTGTGGTGACGGGGACGATGGAGGAGCTGGGGGGAGGAGGAGGGAGGGGGGCAATGAGGAAAAAGAGGGGGCCCCTACCTCCCTCCTCGCCCACAACCCCTTCCCCCTCATCTCATTTCGACATGACTCGGATAAGCCCCGAACATACCGCCCTACGTCCGATTGGATCATCAGCAAAGGGTGGTTTTTCCATCCGGTAGGAGACGCACTGCGACGCGAGGGGACGGGCACGGGCAAAGGCAGCGGGCAGCATAGCGCGCATTCCTGTAGCCAGCTGCGCAAGCCCGAGGGTGGGCTGCCCCCTCGGCGGCCCCCCTCCCCCCAGTCCCAACGCCGCCCTTCCCTCCCTGCCACCGACCGCCTCTTTCTTTTTACTTATCCTCGGCCCTCGCCGGCTCTCACTCCTGTTTCCCCTCTCACGCTAGCTCACTCACTCTCGAGTCACGCCGAATTCCGCGCGTCAGGCCCAGCGCGATCTCGCCAGCACGGTCTCTTAACTGACGGGGATGGAATCTCCAGTGGAAACTGCTCGACTTCTCTATGTAGTGGCTCGCGATACGTAGCAAGTTTGTTCATCCCCCAAACTAATAACAAAAGCGTAAATAAGCTAAGCTTGGGTTCCAGCGATAAGATGAGTAATAAATTCGGTTGAGAGTTCTTTATCCTAATTAGAGGGAGACCTCTGAAGGTGGAGGTAGTCTTTAATTTTCTGGAACATACTTTGCATTTCGATCCCGGCCGTCTCTTCGCCTCAGGCACGGCTGCCCTGGCCCTTCATCAAGCCCCCTTCGACCGAGGTTTACCCTCGACTCTGTCCTCGGTATGGCCACCCGCTTGTAGGAGGCGGCGCCGCCGGTTTGCCACGCCCCACCGCGCCCTGCTCTCAAGCAGCGCAGTCTGCTGAAAAGGGACAGTTACACGACGAGAAAAGAAAATAACTTGGTTTTCGCGAGCGCAAAGTTTGGCGGACGTGGTCGTGTCGTACACCGACACCCTCCCCTCCCCGAGGCGCGCGGCACTACCCACCCAACCCCCGGGGAGGCAATGCCCTCCTTACGTCAGCACACACGGATCCCAGCCCCCCCCCTCCCCCCATCCCCGATCCCCCTTTCACTCTGGATTGAAAAGGGGGGAGGTCAGGTCAGGTACCTGGATTTCCTGGCAGCTTGTGTGTGCCGCGCTCCCGCCCCTCCTTCAGGGCGGCCAGGCGCCCGGAACAAAACTTCCCCCTGCTCCACGTTAACCCAATTCGTGGAGCAGCCTTATCTCCGTTGCCGCCCCGGTGCGTGGTCTCCCCCTCCCCCTTCTCACCCCTGACCCCTTTTGCACCTTGCCGCTGACGACAAACGAGAAGGCGAGTCTATAGTCAGCCGAGGCCGAACTTCAGCGAGCGCGCCCTTGTACGCCGCTGGGCCGGGGTCAGGGCGAGTAAATTACTGTTGCCCCCTCCCCTCTCCCCTTACCTCCATCCTATGGTCCCGCCGCGCCGGTCCAGCCAGGCGAACAAGGAGCCTGGCGGGAAGTCCGGGTAGTGGCCCACGCACCCTGCTGTTGCAAATGAACCGCCTTTACGCGGGAACTTTCCAACTTGAACAAGCGTGTCCAGCCGGCCAGAACTCCCCCGCCCCGGTCTCCCACGTGTTCTGGTCTGGGGTCACGATATGGCACCTTGTGACCTCGTTCCGGTCAAACGTCGAGGATAATAGAATGGTGATTTGATCGCGGAACTCCTCGCTCCTCGGTCCCGAAATGAACCTGGCCCGGATGGGCCGTAAGTATGGCGGCACCCGGCATGATCCCGATGGCCAGGCCCTGCTACTGGACGTGCTCATAATCGGCTCATCGGTTCCGCCAGCAAAACAGTTCTCTGGGTGGGTGCGGTTGAAGGTTGTGTTTCTACTTTACCCAAACACGTTCAACTCGAGAGTTTTGATAGCACTGCTGTATTGCCCGAAAACTAGACAAATTGCCAGCCAAGTCGATTATATGCAGCCCCCGCCCAAGACCACGTGCGCCCGTCCCTACCGGTACCGGAGGGAAGTGACCTGAAGGTGAAGGAGTGAGCAGAGGGTCCCGGGCCACGCCAGGGGGTGGACGCGGGCGCGCGGGCGCTACCGACATAACCGATACCCGCCAGCGATTGAAATACGCAGCGAATGTGCCGCAGCCGGGTATACCGCTGCTCGCGAACTGTCTCGTCCCCTACCCCTCCCACACCTCTCCCACCAACACCACCTCGCCGACCCCCCTGCCACACCGAGGCTATTTGTCTTGCATCCCTTATCACTCGGGGGTGCGCCGACTCGCCGGGGGGCAGCGACCCCTTCTCCCCTTCTCCCCTTCGCCCCTTGCCCCCCCCCCTCTCCCCACCGCCCGTATTCAAAACGCCATCTCACCCGCAGGCATGACGCGCGCCCCTGCCGCCCCCCTGGCACTGCCACCGAACCGCCAAACCGGTGGACCCGAAAGATTAAACCGAGATGCTCGCGCTGCTCGCAGCGGTCCTGGGCGGGACGGGGCGGGGAGAGTTCGTTGGACTTGAGCCCCCGGCCCCGTCGCGTGCTCGCCCCGCCGGAGAAGACATTGTAATCGACACCACAACAACAGCGCGGGCATCTCCGAGCCCAGAGCCCGCCCAGCCGTCATTAACATCATTCCTGGAGTAGTTAGTCAGCGCCCGACCCAAACTTTGCCCGGCCCTGTTGGTGGTGGTGTGGTGACGGGGACGATGGAGGAGCTGGGGGGAGGAGGAGGGAGGGGGGCAATGAGGAAAAAGAGGGGGCTGCTCGACGGGCCGAGGCGTTATTGTGCAATCGGGAACAGCCAAACGGCGGGCAGGCGGACGCGACC